AAATTTAGCATTATTTTCAAATAATGCTTTCTTTCTAGCCTAGGTACTTAATCAGTTTTTATTTTCTGACGTTCACTTTGATTTATCTCATTATCTTTGTAGATGACTAATGAGGCTGTGTTATTTAACCTGTATGATAGGTTCTATTATATAAATCGCACTAAATTTATTAACATTTATGCATAAATAATTATCATAAATTTACGAAATCGGATTGTTCATCATTATAGCGTTGCCACATTGTTGTCTATAGGAGCTATCTGATTGTTTTCTGATTGCGCATCTGTAGTATTTACCACTTAACCTGAGGCATTCTTTTTGATTGTTATGTGGTTTTGGTGGCTGGCGCTTCCGGGCCCTTATTCACAGTCCTCTTCCAGCCATTCCCTACGTCTGCATGCGCTTGCCACCGTTCACTCTAATAATGCTCGTTTCCCGTGTTTTGCACGGGGACCTTTAATCAGTCCCAGATCATTCCACATATCCGCCTTCTTATGAAACGTTTACCCTGTTCCCCGGAAGATAACTGCCCATTACAGTATAGTTGTCCAGTGAATCTGTTTTGACCAAAAGTTAAAAAAAACTTCGATCCATTCAGAGATTTTTTTTTCATTAACACTGCAGATGGTATAAAAATTTATTTTTAAATGCGAACTCCAACTGGAATATGTTGATGAGTGTCATGTGGAAATTTCACGCATCTCTGAGTTAATTTTCTCAAACTCTCAACTTTTTATCATCTTCAAGAGTTTTGTGTGGATATGCATTGAGAATTTCTCAGCAAACATTACATATACATAAAATGAGATAAGAATCTCAAAGTCGGTTTTCAGCCAAACTTGTGATCGCATTTTTTATTAAATAGTTTTCATTATTACATTTAGCGCGTTTCAGGCGTTCTCCGGAAAATATGTGAATACGACTGACGAAGGCGACTACAAATGTGTTTGTTGTGGTGAAGTTTTGTTCAGGTATTTTTGTCATCAATTTTTGGAGTTGAAGGTTCGCCGTCTAATAGCACCATCAACGATTCTTGCTTTTCAGCACAGGTAAAATTCGAGTGGCCGCGATTGAAGCAGTAGATATATTCGAAGTGTCCTTTGCGGCATGACGCCGTCTATCAGATTTATAAAATAACATGCTCTCCAACGTTTTCGATCGTAGTTCATTTTGCTTTCTATCAGAAACAGTATGGACACAAGAAAATGTTACAGAATTAATTGATACTCAGGTATTAACTTTAATAGTGCGGTTTGGCCTAGATTGTGGGAAATGTATCATAATTTTTTCAGTGCAAGCATTGCTGCCAGCGCTCGTATTATTTCTTTGTTTTGATTGAATTAGCAGTTTCCTTTCTCTCTAAAGTAAACATTAGTGAAAGTAGAACAGACAATTCCAAACTCATACAAATACAAAGCAAGGCAGGAGCCTCGTTGTTGAATGACTTGTGACATATAAAGGAAACATTGCATTGTTTATAGCGTTTTGATTCATCGTAAACGTTTGCATATATTCGTTTTTCAGATCTGATAGAAAATTTCTCAGTTCATGCGGATGGCCGTCGTTCAGTGCCGCATTTGAAGAGAAGATCATCCGCAGGCTCGACAATTCGCATGGTATTTGCCGCACGGAAGTCATCTGCAAGAAGGTCAGTGCCTGACGACCGTGGATGACCCCTGCTGTTTTCTCTTTGCTTTGATAATATCTTGTTACAGTGCCACGCCCATCTTGGCCACGTGTTCGACGATGGTCCAGCTCCTACTGGAGAGAGATTTTGTATCAACAGCGTATCCCTCAATTTCGAGCCAGTCAAACCAGCGTAGCTTCACAAATGTGGTCTTATTCAATATTCGATTTGCATCGCTTTCTCAGAGAATTTAGGAATTTTTATTTCATCCTTATCTTACCGCAGGACGTTGTTTCTACAAATTTTCCATTCTGCTACATAGCGTATTTTCTTCTGCTTATATCTGTAGATAATCGGTAAAGACGAGATCAAGAGGTACTCAGTTAGGTTAGCACTACTGAATAAAATGAGTGTTTCACTAGCATATGTATTGAATTATGGTACGTTATTTCTTGTAGATTAAATTCGAAGCTTTTTATAAATGATTGTTTTGAAGTGTCGTGATCTAAGTACATAGGAAAGTAATTTTTTCGCGCTTTTACTTCATCTTCATCTTCCATCGCCGCTTCTCCTTTCGGGTCGCGGAGGAAGACGCGTCAGACAGTGCTTCCAAC